TATATATATATAAAGTAATATTTATTTTTTGTCTCTAGAAACCAAAAATTTTGATACTAGACGAAGCAACTAGTGCCTTAGATGCAGAAAGTGAATATTTCGTTCAAGAAGCTGTAGAACGTGCAATCCGTGGAAGAACAGTGATAACAATTGCCCACAGACTTAGTACGATAAAGAACGCTGATAAAATCGTGGTACTCGATGGAGGACAAGTGGCGGAAACCGGCACTTACGTCGAGTTAATGAATCTAGAGTATGGCCTTTTCAAAAAATTAGTCAAACATCAAACATTTGCATAGATGTATAGAACAAATTGTTTTCATTACAAAGCTATTTTTATGGTTAATGTATTATATGTATATACTACACATATCTCTATATTTATTATCTTTTAAATGTCCAAAATTATGCAAAAAATTCCATACATTATTGATACATTTCTTGACAGGAATATATCGATATTTGATTGGAATAAAAAATAAGAAATATTATATTTAGTGCTACATATTTATTGCTGAATGTTATAGAAAGATACGTAACATATCATTCGCGAAAATAGTTGCATAGACACAGCGAGGTATAATTATTACATTATGTTGACAGTGCAATATCCTCTGATCATTCATACCTGTGTTATTTCCTACTTCTTTTAAAATATTTTTTTTGATAAGGTCAGGTACATATATAACTACGAATAAAAGATAGAAAATTGACAATCTTTCATTTTTATATATTTTTTTATAAAATAATATACAGCTATTTTTTTTTAGATATCCACATTCGTATATTATGTGTTATTAATCTATATTAATTCTTAAATTAATATCCCATTCCTACAATATTCTAATAACGTTTCAGTAGAACCGTATCGAATTCGCTTGAGAACATTTTGTGAAAATACATATAACTAAGCGATTCGACATAATGCTAACAGGTTCTAATTTGTGGATCAATTTTAATAAGGTTAATTTTTTTGGTTCGCAATGGGCCGCTTTAAGGTATTTTTTCACTCAGATTTACTGTATATATAATTACATAGTTCGAATTTTTGAATATTCTGTATTTGTCAAAGTATAGGAAACTGAAGGAACCAGCATGCTACGTCTGATCACAAAGAGCTAGCCATACGTTTACAGAAATAGCTTGCTCTACTAAAGAGTCTTTTTCTCTTTTATACATAGCAAGCACTTGTAAAAAGGAATTACTTGCCTACTATAAATGATAATAAAAATTAATTATAAATGATACATTCAAAATAATTTTAACTTTTAGGAGTTTTAATAAACAACTTGAAATAATAGCGTTTGTGTCTTCAAATGCTAATATATTTTAAAAAGTTTCGTAGAATGTAAAGAAACATATCTGTGATTGATCTCGAACGTATTCTCGGAATTAATTGGTTCTTTTGGCATATATATTTCCAGATTTAATCAGAACTTAGTATAAGGCTGTGATTACGCATGAAACTATTTTATTCATCTCGATTGTGAAATGTTACGCGAATATGTACCGTACTCATATATCATTATTTAAAAATTGATTCATTAGATATACTTGTCCAATATGCAATGTACATATTAGTTATAGGCACAACCTTATTCTAAGCAGATATCCGTGGTATTTGTATAAATCTGTATTGAAATGTGTTTACCAAATTTGACTTCTATACAAGCGGTTTTACAGTATTACAATCTTTTTAGGAGTAGGCAGTGTTCTTTTTTTTCCCTCCAAGAGTTATAAAAAATTCATTTCAATAGATCATCTCTTTATAAGTAAATATCGGAGCTTATTCAGTCTAATAATAAACCCGAAATAAATAAAACAGCAATTAATAGTTAAGATGATAAAGAATTTTCATTGAGCATTACCTAATGTTTGCTCACAAATTAAATCTCATTATTCTCATAATAATTACCGATTATGAAAATTATATATATTTATATATCGCGTTCACAAGCATGTCGCAAATATCTTGTTCATGTGCAAAGATATTTACGAGTTGGTTCCTATTCCGACATCTATCTTAAGAATAGATATCAAACGTTAAACAAAAGGAAGGAGAAACATGCCAATTAGATAAGTCAAGATTAACTTTTCGGCAGCTCCTCCATTGCTTCCTGCTCCATAGGTTCATCCTGTTGAAACGTCGATAATGATTCTTCGTCGTCGACTTCCATTAATTCCTCCGATTCCTTTCTACACGCTATACTCTCTATTACAGAAGATTGGTTCCCTTTTATCGTAATATCTGCCGTTGCTTTATTGCCCTGTGAATTTGCTAACTTATCATCTTTGTCGTCTGTTAACTTATCGTCCTTTGGAGATCGACAACTGACATTATCGGAGCTTTCTACTGTTTCGATAATAGGTGAGACAGGATCATTGAGTTTTTCAATTACAGATGCTGTTTCTTTAGATTTTTCTACGCTGATTATTGGATCCGATGCCATAGACTCAACAAGAGCTACCTTGTCGTTGGAAATTTCCATAATGTTCAAATTATCGTTGTTAAATTCGGACTCTTGCTCTTCTTGTCCATTAGTGTTGCTGTTGGAAGATGCTGTTGTAGGAATAGCTTCTAGGACTTTATCTGTTTCTTCCATACTCTCCGTTTTTTGGCTTATAGATTTGTCACGTGTAAAACACTCTATGGAAGAAATCGTTTCAGACGTCTCTTTAGAATGTATCTCGGATTTTTCTGTTTTGTATACTGCTTCGGTACTGGACACGATGACTGCGCTCATGCATTCATCGGATGTGACTGTGCTATCTTTTTTCATGGACTGCGACTCAATGAGTGCCGTCGCATTCTGGCTGCTCGGGGAACGCAAGTTTTCCTCCTCTAAGTCTTCGAGGATCGACGATTCTTCTTCTTTCGGTTTATCAGGAGCTGTTTCTTCGACACTTTCAGTATTATCTGCCGAAGCGTCAGATTTCATTTCAACGTCCGTATGTAATAAATTTTCAGTTAATCTACTTTCATCGCGAGACATCTCGTCGGAGTCTATACGCTCGGGGCTTGATTTGGTCGGTTCTTCGTTTTTCAAGGGGTGTCCAATCTCCTCCTCCACGCTGCCTAAAGTCGACGGATCCGTCGTTTTCTCATTGGACTTGTCCATAGATTTGTTATCGCCGGACTCGAAGCGTTTCGCTTGGAAAGCGGCTTGCAGCTTTCGTGTGGTATCCGTCGTTAATGGTATCACCGTGGCCACCACAGTCACCGTCGTCGTTGCCGCCGTTGATATCGATGTCGTTGACGTTGCTGTCGTTGTCGTTGCTGTCGCTGTAGCAGCCATCGTCGTCGTAGTCGTGGTTGTGGATGTCGTGGTACTTGCTGTCACTGTTGTGTCAATCTCTTCATTTTCCATATCTAAATTAGGTTGAGAATTGGTATCCTCGTTCATGATTGAAACTGCTATATCGGTGCTTGGGAGCATGGAGTCTTCCGAGACTGCTTCGACTGCCGATATACTCTGTACTACAGGAACAGCAGTCGCAATGGCTTCTGGTCCATGTGGCTGTAAATTTAAATTTGATATAGTAGAGAAATCTGAAACAGTGTTGATATAATTTGACGTTGAGATATCCGTTCTAGAGGTAACTTGTTCAATTTTCTCTCGAACGGTCTCGTCTGTAAACAGACTCTTGGTTAGAGTGGAATCAGACGCCGGGATGACAGCGCTGTGCAGAAGCGATGGCTCGTTCTCGACGGTGTGTACACTAATTGTGACAGTGGAGCTACAGTCCTTCTCCCAGTACTCCATTTCCACATCTTGTGAGGTCGGCTGTACTGGTTGTGCTGCTGCTTGCGGCTGAGTCGTCTGCGAGGAAGGCTGCGACGACGGCTGCGACGGTGACGGTGGTGGTGGTTGCTGGGTAACAGAGGCCGCGTCTTCCTCGACGGAACCGTTAACCATACCGTCACCCGTTTCGCCACGTCTGGTTATGGGTCCGGGCTCGCGTGTCGACACCACCAGGATATTCTTCTCGATGGCGCGCATAAACTTGTCCACGCGATTGTACTCCTTACGCGGTGCCGTCAGCAGCTCGCATATTCGTTGAACAGTGAAGGGCGCGTTCGCGAACGATTCCAACCTCTCGAGCAGGTTACTTTTCATGGTATCGTAATTGAAATGCTCGACGTTGGGACAGGGCGCGAGTTCTAGAGTGGGGCAGCTTTCGTAAAAGTCCGTCATCACGCGGGTGAGTTTCTCCCGGACGAGGGTCTTGATCAGCGGCCACTGGTACACGGGATCGCCGGTCTTGGCGACCCAACACAGGTAATCCTCGAGCTCCTGCGGGATCACCGACGGTCGCATCTTCTGGAATTCGTCGAGGGCCTGTAACACTTCCTCCAGATTTTCCATCGTCTCCGCCGCCGCCAACAACCACCGCCGACAAGTCTTCTGCGTTTTCTCTCAATTATCCCGATTGTTTGTTAACAAGATACGCCGCGTAAAATCCGAGGAATCTCAGGAGAAATACTCCGTGCAAGGGAAACAACCAAAAACGTAAACTAGCAAACACACCGGCCACAAAACAGCAACAATGAGAGCGGCGACGAGGAGGGAGAACAACAGAGCTGCCAACTGATGCATGGTGAAATCAAAAAGGTGAATCATTGCACATGATTGCGTCCGATTGGTTAAACCCCCACTATTTTACTGTCTGCTGCGCATCCTTCGGAATATTTCACATCTTCTTGATTCCATTATAAACTGATACACGTTGCAATCTCCAAGTGACAGTCCGAGGCCGTTCAACTACAATCACGGAGTAAAAAGGAGATCAAACTCAAACGATCGATCACGAAAAAGTAGGGCTCGATTTCTGGTTTCGGAAAAGCGCGGAGGAAAGATTCGAGCGCGCCTGTCGGAAAAAGTTGTCAACATAATGATTTGAAAAATCTTTTTCCTCCCATTTTCCTATAAATTTCGTTAATTTGTATATTTTCACGCGTAGAATATATTCTGAAAAGTAATCTCGCTCAAATTCCATATTTTTGTTTTAAAGTTTTTTTTATGTCGGTAAATTAAAAAACGATAATTTAATGATAAATTATGACTATGCATACATATATTTTTCAATAATGATGCTTTTTTAATCAAATAAAATAAAATGTAAATTTATCTGGATATATATACAAAATCATTTTAATATTATTTCGACCTTGCGCCGAATTTTGTCCAATTCGTTCTGTTTTAAAGTTCATTTAACATGAAAACGCTGACCGGGTCACAAAATCGATATAGCCGTTATGATATCTCGATATCGATTTCTTCATTAATTTAACCATGAATTTAACTTATTAAATTAAAATACAATGAAAATAGAATTTACATAAAAAAATATTCATAAAAAATTGAGCAATCCATAAATCTCTCACAAAAAGAAAGCCTATTCTTAATCAAAGAACTCTTTGAACTAGTACACACGATGCAATAAATAGAAATGAAATAAACTATATTCATTTTACTTCTTCAATTAATTGCATGAGTGTGTACCAATTCATCGAATATGCCTAACTTAAATCGTTAAGAACGTCCATATTCTGTAAACATATAGAAAATGAACGTACATATTTATAATAGATTAATCTTAATATATTTCACAATTTTAAACTTTAATTAGACATATGATAAGATCATGTAACATGTAAGTTTATACATAGAAACAATTAACAATGATAAAATAAACTTATTTGTTTTATAAATATCTTAATGTATCTGATAAATTATAATATCTTTCTGACTAATCGTGTATACGTAATAAATAAATATCTAAATAAATAAATAAATCGTACATTCGAAAATTACAAATTGACAATCCAATGTCAATGTACATGTACATCTTATACACACAAAGGCTAATCAAATAAACTCACATAGCTTAATAATTAATATTTTATATAACTTCGCAAAATCCGCCTCACTGTATCTTCCGAATGCACAATTCGTGATTGTTATATAACATAAATACATTTTTATAGTTAGCTTATCTATAAATGTTTATAACTTTTTCAAAATATTAATATATTAATACTTATAAATATTAATATATTAAGATATTAGTTTAAAAGTAGATATCCTTAAGAACTCGCTGACGAGTGAAATCTTTAACGATATTAAAACGTCAAAGATATTAACAATTACTTTTTGAACAATGACGGAAATATGATAGGTTTCATGGCATGGTGATTATGTTAATACGATTTGATTTTGCTTTTGTGCTTTTCTATGGAGAATTATTAAAAGGAACAAAGTGCATCTAATATATGTCTAAAATTCCTTTCCGCTTGAGAAGACTGACTTTGCTGCAAATTTTTGAAGAAAATCTTGGGAACCATGCAGCATTAAACTTAAGATGTCAGTTAAAGATTATTAATTATTTAAGATTACGTTTCTGGTCTTTATTTTTAATGGAACGCGCAAGATAATTTGGTTCGTTCCATAATATCTTTAACGACATCAAAATCACGTATAATCTAACATTCGTGTGCCACACTGTATTAGTCTGGCGTACCATGAAAATTTTTCATTTGGATAGACTTGTAATGATCAAAAGCTTAAGAACAATAATCGTGTAAGTTCACTCTAAACAGATCTCAGTTAGAACTATCCCATAAATCTGTTGTTAATAGATTATTAATTTATAGATTTCAATTAACATACCACATTTTATAAATTAAGTTTTTCACAAATTTTGGTCACTTAAACATCAACTACCATTTTCTTATGAATATCTGTATTGCCAACAACCTGAAACAGTTGTAAAAAATATGTAACATACTGCTCATATTACGTGAAATATGAATGCACACGTTACTTACAGAACAAAATTCTTCGAAACTAATCCTACCATCTTCATCTTTATCGGCAAACAGTATTGTTTTATCAACAATTTGCTGCAATTGTGTATCCTTCAAATTATTGCCTACCATCATTTTTAGCACTTGGAAAAGCTCTCCGTTGCTTATATAACCGTCATTATCCATGTCATAAATTCTAAATGCAAATCGTAATTTGCTCTCTTTGTCACCCTGTAAGTTAATATCATATATAATTTTTTGTGTACAAAAACATAATATTATCTCTATAGGAAAACAAAAACTATACCTTAACGCTGAACTGAGACACTCCGTGAATAAACTCTTTGAAATCTACTTCTCCATTGCCATCTGCATCAAATATGTCGATTACACGCTGCACTAATGGGTTTTGTTGTAACTCGGGCAAGGACATAAACTCATCGATGCTGAGTGCTCCGCTATTATCCAAGTCTAACTTCCGAAATCTTTTCCCTAATCTTCTAATCTCATCTACGTCGACTAAAGAACAAACATTCACAATCATATTTACATATCATAGAATACTATGTATCAAGGTCATGCAAGTTAACAAATTTTTAATCATCAATGCTTGAATTTCTACTGATACGAATAATATTTGTACAATTCATTCCACTGAGGATACAATATGTTTCTAAAGTGCTCTAAAGTAGCATTGTCTGTCTTGTTCTATAATCAGATGATAACAGATTAGGTTACTTTGAGATAGATAGTAAAAGTCGAGGAATTCCTAACAACTTACAATTCGAACAGAGTTCCATAGGCAGCGAACTTTCATTACCCTGCAAGATAAACGATTTTTAAAACATATTCCTCCGTGTGGAGCAAGTATAAATTTTGTTTCGAAAATTATTTTCATCCGACAATCATCGAGTTAACACGAAATTGCAAGACGATGTTGGGATCGAGGAGCGAATTATGACGATTCTCATATCCGCATGGTGCGTTTAATTACCATTTTGAAATAGCTTCGTGAATTTGTCGCAAACTCTTCGAGAAAACAACAATATTTTCCAACAAGCAGACTCAACGAAGCTGGAACACAGTCGCCGTAAAGGGGGGCTGGGGGCTGCAGCACCGTATCGACGTTTTGCCTGTTTTTCCCTTGCTAGTCTATTATCGTCCGTTGCAAACGGACGTTGTGATTGGTCCGATCGATTTCAACCGTCGCCGTCAACCACGGAGTCGCGCCTCTACGTCGACACCTTCTCCGTGGTAGTAACGCGATCGATGTCGCCAATGCTGAAAATGTGATAGGGAAGGATCATTCCCGCGAAATAAGAGTGAGGATACACGGGCATGTTTTTTCATTTACCGATCGATTAACTGCACTATGCGCAAATACAGCTTTCATACAGAACGAAATTACATTTGCGCACAATGCGATTGATTGATCAATGAATTAAAAAAACCTCCGATTTCAGATTTGCGTATCATTGACATGTAATAATATATTTGATTAGTAATATTCTTCTAAAGATGCTTATTAGCATCAATAATTATTAAATTGTTCATCAATTTAACAAGTGATATGTTAATACTATTCTAGTTCTGCTCTTATACAAATTTAATACTAATACTGGCCAATTTTAATTACATACTTTCAGTATTAAAAGTACTATATATTAACGATACTTATATATTCAAAATGAGTAATTTATTAGTCAGTATATTAATTGTATTTCTATAAAAGTGCAACGAGAATGGATTAAAATTGATTGATGTTTGATCGAAAATCCATCCAAATATGTGTTATACTTTTCAATAGCATTCGTGGTCCAATTTCACTTATTTTTAGATTCAATGATAAAATTAGATTGAAAAACTATATATATTTATTCAGAATTTTGAATTGAGTATAAATATTCACGATACACTCATAAAGAATTGAATTTTTTATATATTGAAAGACATAGAAAATGCTTCACGCAATTTCTATATAAATATATGTATGAAAAAACATTGGAATTGAAAAGGATTTATTTTATTTGTTTGCAAATGCATATTTCTGAAAATCCGAATTCATTGCAATCCATTTTCGTTTATTGGAAATAATAACGTACCTTTCAAAGCTAAAAAGGATTTTGGCATATATATCCTGTGTTTGCAGAATCAAATACATGTATAAAATTCACACAAACATTTAAGCACTAAGATGCGCTTCGACCGAATATAGAAATTCTCATTTAATTAGATTAAATTTTGTTTAGTTGTGTCTTTTTGAAGTAAGGGAACGTTATATATAGAAAAAGCGATTCATTTATTGTGCATTAAAATCTTTTACGTGTTTCTACATATATATATCTTATATAGTTGATCTAAGAATTCCGAGAGTTTGAAAATTAATTGTTTTGCTAACGTATAGGCTTTGGATGTATCGGCGTAATTACAATACGTCAGTTTAGTGTATTAATCGTGTCGTCATAAACGTATATATGCGGATGCTGCTCGATAACTGCTATGTCTTTTTCAAGTTGCTGCAACTCGCGCTCCATCCTCGCTTTCTTCTGCGCCTTTGGCAACGTGTCCGCGAGGAATGGCAATCTCCGGAATCGCTGCATCGCTTCGTCCCACCTTTGCTTCATGCCCTGTTTCCGGATGTAACGTACACACTCGGTCACTTCCGTCCAAATTAAGCGGGAGCTGCGAGCATTGCCAAGATACCCAATTAGATACCTACATCCAGCAGCACCTTTCGTTCCTCCTTCTCGATGTATTGGCACACCGATATCCTTGATGACGTCTTGTCTCCATTAAGTGATTCGGCCGTCTCTGTTTCTACTCTCGTATGGACTTTCGCGATACATTTCGGTATTTTTCCATAATTCTGAAAATATTGATTGTAAAAATGATATAAAATATTGACTTGATAAACACAATTAATTAACAGTAGCATTATATAGATAATTTTCCACACAACAACGTAATATGTATATAACTAATGTGATCAGATATTTTTGGCTAAAGTTCTAAGGCGTAAGTTCTAAAGCCGGAAACTTTATTACGAAATTTCATTATATTCATTCTTTTTTTGTTGCAGAGAGAAATTGGAAGCAATAACACATATTCTTTAATTTTATAATTTAGCAAGATTTATAAAATATTTGTCAATGAAACCTTTTTTTTGCTACATTTGACATATTTGACAAGAATAGCGAAACAAGTTATAGTACCTTGAATATGCGGGGGATATTAAAATTGCGTCTCTGGTCACATAATTAAATACATAATTAAATATATAAATTATTAGAAAATTATAACATTAGTGCAATGTTATTGTTCCTTGATTTTATTACAATTATTGTTTCATAACTATATAAAGGCACAATAATTATATCTCGCAACTATATGTATATATAATTTAAGATTTGTATAAATATGTGCAAGAGCGATTTTTCCAAAGTAGCTAGAAATCAGTTTGGAAAGCGTCGTTAAAAGCCAAAAATAATCATCTAGAACGGTGAAAAGTATCACGAAAAGTTGTAAGCCAACAACAGGAATATCTTGCTTCGCATACGTGACTCATACTTTTTTGTACACGTAAATCGGAAGTAATCCGCTCCTTTTTAAATCATACGTGTTGCCGTAACGGGTATCGACGGATCGCTGTTTGGGCTCTGCCGGATAGGAACGTTTCGCGCGAAGGATATTTTGTTTAATGAAATTCTTTTCCGGTGTGACGAATAATTTTTCCAACGAATCCGCCATTTTATTCGCCTTCGCGTTTCTATGGACGACTTCGATCAAACAGCGATTAATTTAATCAGCGATTGTTCAGATTATTCAGAATTAATAGTGTAAAAATAAGAAAGGGATACGCACAGTCCATCAACAAACGCTTCTATAAAGCGTTTGTAACGAATTCTTGGATCCAAGAATGTGTGGCCACTCAACATATAGTTTTTACGGAAAAATAATAAGTTGATTGGTTATAAACGGTTATAATACATTTCTCGATCCGAGGTCGTGTATCCAGTTTCAAATGCAATTGGTCAATCCTGTAAAGTTACTGGAATGGTTAAGTTAACCGGAATTTGGTGAAAGTTGCCCTAAAATCATCAATAAGCATTCATCCAACTGAGTTCGCTGAATGCGCCCAATAACCGCTCACTGATCACCATAGAGATAGTAGTACTATCTCTATGCTGATAACCGAGAACTCGATAAGCTTTTTCATCCAATCATTGGCACATTCCGTTAGATTTTAAAATATAAACCAATCATTGATTACAGGGTCTATAATTTGAGTGGCTTATGAAAATATACCTTAACATTGTATCCAGCATCATCCACGTGTCTTGTCTACATATGTACTTCGTCATTGCATCACCCGACTAGGTCAGTTCTGGAAAGTTCCACGAGGGTAGAAAGGCGCTCAGGCTTGCGTACGATTCTCGATTGTTCTCTTCATTCTCGTTTTTCGTGTGTCTGATCTGACGCGTAGAGTCGAAAATCCATTTTCTATTGATTGCACAGTTGAATTTTTCGAATTCCCGAGCATCCCAAGACATCCTACAAAATGTCGATGTTCGGATCATTCATGAGCGATGACGATCTTTTCAACATCTTTGGGTGAGTGCCCCATCGTGATTTCATTTGGATATATACATGCTATTCCGGAGGTCGCAGTCCTATTTGAAGTGCAATGGCTCATAATGGAGCTGTCAAATGTTTTGTTAGTGTTATAACTGCGAAGATAAATTCTTATTCACGTCTGAGGCATACCTAATTCTAATCCCTTTATGAAGTCAAGTTCTTAATAGGCATGCCTGATCTTTAATATAATACGTAGAGAAGATTAAATATATATATGTGCTGTGTCTTCTGATACGTATATATGTATATGTAATATTCATTAACATAAAAAGCTATATATATACATGTATGTATGTAGAAAGAGAGAGAGGGAGAGAGAGAGAAAGCTTTTAATTTTGTATGTATAGGGGTGTGTGTATATATATATATGTTCATACATAAAAAAATTTTTTTTATTTTATAAATTATTTTACTTAAAATCCTTGAGTTAATTTCTTGTTCAGAACATGAAATTTAATTAATATTTTTTTTATATTTTGCATTATAAACTCAAAAATAAAAAATTATTACGTTTATATAATACGATTATGATTATGTTTTTTTTTTGTAATCATGTATGTATGTCAAATTATATGTCATGTTTATTTTCTTTTAATACTGTTCTACAATGTACGTTTTGTTTTTTACCTTGTTTTTCATTGTTTTCTAACAATTTTCTAAGACAAAAAACTGGCAAGAAATATAATTATAAATAAACCAGTTGTAGAGAGGGGAGAAAATGAGAAGTAAAAAGCAAGAAAAACAAAGAAAACATAGAATAGAATAGAATAGGCTTTATTTATGGTGTTCAGTAGTCCTTAAATATCCTTGGATTTTGGAATTATACTTTTATGTATTCTGGAAAATTTCTGGAAGATTCTTGAAATTTCAAGGATGATCTGAAATTTATCACTCTTTCATTCTAAAAAAAAAAATCAGAGTATGGAAAAAGGAAATAAAAAAAAAGTTGTATTGGGTATGAGTTCTTCCTTAAAGATGCAATAAGTTATAATGTTTGTTTGATATTATTTATAAAGTAATAAATAATATTGTTCTAATAAGTAACTTTAACTAAAGTGATATTACTACGGTAGTTGATTAGAGTTGCGTTGTAAGTCTGAAAAAATTTCGGTACGTGATAAAGTGACTACATACGTGGTAAATAAAATTCACACATTACTTTAGCAACCAAAATCTTTGCTTGACCATTATTAGGCCTTTATTTACTTGTTTAAATACTAACGGTCCTACACATATCGTAATTTTCTAATAAGTAATATTTTAATTAATTCGTGTAGAATCCTAACTTGAATACAAAGCATGTAATATTGCACAAATCGATGAAAATCAATTAAGGCTCTTGAGTAGTCGCTATATTGAATTGTGACGTTACGAGCGAGAAATTACATGTTAACTTTTTATAATAATAAACGCACTTTACATGCTTTTTACGACTGTCAAAGGAGGTAAAGATAGAAAATAGTCTCGACTTATTTTTG